ATTTTATTTTCGCTTGGAATTAATTTTCGCTATTTCCGCTGAAGGAATGATTCAGTGAAAATAAAATTAAGCAAATATACCTTTTTTCTTATATTTTACATTCAACTTGTCAAAATTCAGTGAAAATAAATTTTATACGAAACACACAAAAAGTCTTTTCAGCGATAATTAATTCCAGCTAAAATAAAGTATTTTACAGTAATTTATAAATATGTATGTAACATTCAAAAAACTCAAACAATTGTTGAAATTTTGTTTGACCAAACCAAACCAAACCAAACCAAACCAAACAAAACAAAACAAAACAAAACAACAAAACAAAAAAAAACAAAAAAAAAACAAAACAAAACAAAACAACAGTGAATTTGACATCACAAATGCAGATGAATAAAATTTTAAAAAGAATGAGTGTTATCTATCAACATCCAGTTTCAAGCATAGAGGATGGTACAAAAGAACGACCCAAACTCTTTGTTTGGCAGGAAAATTTGTGAATTTGCTAAAACCAAGTGAATATAATCAAAATGTCAAAATAATGAAATTGAATTTGAATGATAAGTACATAGAATCACATTAGAAATGCAAGGAGAGTGAAACATGGTTATATTTCATAGCGATTGAAGACCCTCTTCCTGTGTTGTCATTGTCGTGAGATGGTACAGGTGTCCATATCGAAATACCATATTGCTCTTGAACTTTACTGCACATAAACCAAAAAATGTATTTATTATTTATTGAATCATAAAAATATAATTTATTTCCACATAGACCCACCTCTATAATTTCTGTAAGCACATGGGATACTGATAGAGAAAATATACAACCATGCATTGTAATCTACCATGACGACTGTTTCTAGGCAACAGAGATGTGATGCAGTATGTGATAGTGATTTTAAATAATACGTTGAAATAATCAGACTATACAAATTAAGTATTTCACATTCGTTATTCATTCTAAAAAAAATTCCAGCTGGAATTTTTAATATAAAGTAGTATAGGTAGGTAAATAGGTATTCTGATTGGTAGGTCCTGCAATCACAGACATTTAATTATTTTCTTCTTTTATGTGCTTGTTTAAAATAGTGAACGATATCAATGATATGTTCTCAAATATTAATGCAGAGGTATTGTTGTGAATTTAAACATCACTGTTTAATTTGACTGATGGTTTTCCTCATTCATTTTAAAGTGAATATTCAGGAGACAAAAACCATTCACTTTACATCTACTTGTAAAATTTGTATATTGGGCTTTCAGGGGAGGATAGCGAGGAAATTGATTACACTTTACTTCAGCTTTGAGGCACTACCCGGTACTACATTTTTAAGAAAAGTATAGAATTGTAAAGTCCTTAGATGCAAATACCTAATGGATGAAGGATCTCATTGAATCTCTTAAATAGTGTTGCATTCTGTCTAGTCATTGCGTCCACTCTTCTGAATACCATGGCAACATACCATGGTAACATATCGGTAGGTCCATTAACGTTATGCAGCTTGCGTGAACTTCTATCAGATTTGTTCATTTGGTGACGATAACTTTCTCTGATTTTAATTAATATTTTTGTCAAACCCTTCATTCTAAAATATCATCTAATAATTATAATTACTGTTATTACATACACCTTAAGAACAAAAAATAAAATAAAACTCATAATCAACAAACTGACATCTCAAATTTGTGAGGTATACTGTTCCAGCCAAGTGCCTGCATGTTTTCATGGAGAGTGGGATGAACAGTTATAGAGCTATGTGTGTGGACTACGATTTAATGTCAATAAAAATGTGCTGTACAAGAAACAAACAAAAACGGAAATTAATTAATAAATTGTAAATCATTATTTAGTGGAGTTGATTATATATTAACAATAAAAATGAGTAACATATCACGACTTGTTGTCATTTTTTATTGCTTATATACTGTTAAGTAGATTATACACTCGTTAAAATGCGAATGTTTTATTACATAGACTTGTGCGCAATAAATCTTTAGTTCAGAACCAATATTCAATAATTTGTAATTTGCAATCAATCTTTAGGTTATGATGTCCATTGTTTCCTTATGAGATAACAGCACACGATTCGTTATTTCTCATTTCAAACAAAAGAATGCATGCGCTCATTTGTAAATACACTGTACTGAATAGGTGATTTTCTGTACAATTGCGAGATTTCGCGAGATTTATGAAAGACGCGCGTCGAACGTCTGCCGCAAAATTCAAACGATTTGATTTTGAACTAGAATTTCTTTATTTCATAACTCACATCGAGCGACCGATCTTCGACAGAAGAATATTGCTTCGGAATACCCTTACTTAATCGAAATTGCCTATCATGAAATGTGGACAGCACATTATTAAGCATGGAAATGTCCATCAAAATACTTCGCGTTTGTCGAATCCCGCGCAATGTTTAACGCCACTACGACGCTATGACCTTTGTTTGTCCTGTGTTTATGTTCGATTTCACGCATAAAGCGTGATTCTCGCAGTGAACGGAAAATGGCCTATTAAAAGAGAATTACGCTTAGAGGCTAGGTAGTTTTAAATTTCAAATCAATTTAATTATGTGTAGCGTATTCACAAATTGAGATCACACGATGGTTTAAGTGGATTTCTACAGTCAACTGCTTATGTGTCTGATTTGATAAGTCTTGATGATTGCCACCTTATGTTTATTTTTTCTTTCTAGACCAGCACGAAAAATGTAACTCCAGGTGAGACCAACAAAAAAATGCATCTGTTTCTGGTTTGTATGTGTGCGTCGACACTAAAAGGATCTACGATGTGTATCAGTTTAAAATGGATACACACATGTTTTGGGGGGATTTTTTGGTTATTTAAACAAGAAAAAAATGTGGTGATGATTAGAACTGTCTATTAAAAATAAATCCATCACTGCATCATAATTTGTTTTTGCCAAAAAATAAAAAAAAAATTTTAAGGAAAACTATATAGCAAAATTGGGTGATTTTACTAGGCATTACATGTGTAAATGAATAAATCCTTTCAATCAGGAATCATTCACATTGACATTGATCCTGAAAAGGGGTTACTGTGGAATACTTTATCTTCGCTGGAATTAATTTTCGCTGAAAAGGCTTTTTGAGCATTTTGTATGGAATTTATTTTCACTGATTTTTGATGAGTTTAATGTGAAATATAGGAAAAAAAGTATATTCGCTGGATTTTATTTTCACGGAATCATCACTTCAGCGAAAATAGCGAAAATAAATTCCAAGCGAAAATAAAGTATTCTACAGTATTCTATCACTGGTTTCATTTGATCAATGAAACAATACATAGCATATTCAGACATACAAATGCTGTTGAAAAATAATTTTTCACTGGTATTTAATTTTTTCTATAATGATAATAAAAACATAATCACTGGGTTTTAAATTTAAAATTCATATTTTAGCTTGTTCACATGAATTCAGTTCAGTAGATCTCATTGTGAAATTAAAACCAATCAAATCATTAATATGTTTAATTTTAAATTCTGTGCAGATAAGGTGACTATTACTGCAAAATGACTAATTTTCACTGGGTTTAAATTTCGCAGATTTACCATTTCAGGCATATTCAATGGGTTTTAAATTCACGGTTTTATCATTTAGATAATGTGTTCTATGCTAAATTTTACATATTCACTGGGTTTTAATTTAGCGCATTTTCCAGTCAGCGAAATAAGCAAAATTAAAACCCAGTGAATAATTAACTATTTTACAGTACTTGCGTCGTATAGGTAACATGGGACCCATATCAAAACACAACGTTGAGAGATAACTGCGTGACTTCAAAAAAAACTGTTTAGAATACTTCAAATTTTATGTTTATGGTGGGTACTTTGAATGAGATCTTAACTAAAAAAGGACAAAGGATTTTCCAACATTCATACTTGTTCAAATATAAAAATCTTAAACAATTGATTACTAAGCATAATAAAGAAAGTCACCAACATCTCTCATCTACTTCGGCAGTTTTGAAAAGACATCATTATTAAGAAGCTGCCAACTTAATACCACAACTGCAAATACAGGTAAATTGTACTGACTTTTATGAATCAAGAGAGTAAACAGGCCATGATAAAAGCAAGTAAGAGTTGGTCTAGTGTCAATGCCGTGAGCACGCTTTATTACGCTTTAAACTTTAAATGTCGTTTCTTTATTAATTTGCTGGTGAAAAAGAAAGAACAATAAAAAAACATATAGATCCTTGAGAAGAAGGACACAATACTGATTGATTTTTTTTTTTAAACAACGCTTTATGGTCTTATTTGTGCGTTGTTTTGATGCTTTTTTAAAATCGGAAATTTAGACAGCTTTCTTGGCAGGCGTGTTGTGAATGCAAACGTATGAGAATAATACGTATACGGAAAATAATGCGCGTTACTGTAGGCTCAGGTGACAAAAATCCGGCGAAAACAATGTAGCATGATATGTGTAATGGAAACCCACTTGTTACTGACTGAATCACCGCTAACACGGCCGAACGTCAACACAACTAGACACCTGACACGGCATGCTTTAAATAGTGTTGGCATTTAAAAACAAAACAAATGTACGACTGTAAATCTTACATATTCACAAATATTGGACCCGAGAACACAAGGTTATGTAAGTCAAATGTAAACACCGTTTTTAGTTGTGCATCCGTTAAAAACGCAGACTTCCCGTGCGTGATTTGAAGTAACAAATACGTGACAAAGAATAAAACAAACATAACGGTTTTTAAAAAAGAAAACAAAGCTTTGGAGAAAACAGCGGAACCCGCATGATTGTTTCTCGTCCCACAGTTTCGGTTGCTGGATCCATGCGCTGCGTGCTTAAGAGCGTTCACCGGCCCCATTTAACAAATTAGAAACACTAACGGAAATTTAGAGGTCCATTAGTGGGTCTCTCGGCGACGGGAGGGAACAGGTGACCTGGAAAATAAACCAGGGAACCAAGTAACGTTTTGAAAAAAGAAACAATTTAATCTATTTTGGAAGTCCTTACCTCGGCCAATGACTTGATACAAAGCCCGTTTTCTCGCCGGTTCTTCTAGCAATTGTTTCTGAAGATTGAATTTCTCTATTAACACTGGAATTAGTTCTCCCACGGTGGTTTCATTGTCGAGTTTAACTGCTTTACTGGCCTGGCGATCTTCATTCGCGTCTTCCAAGTAAAATCGCAAAGCTCCTTCATAGCTGAGTCCCTAATAAAAAGAAATGGAGAGGCAATACTTTAAAAAATGCCATTCATAGTCGCGCAAATCCCCGAGGTTTTCGAATGCATTGTAAGTTGACTTTTTTTCAAAGTTGTTGTTTTTATAACACTTACTTCGTTTAGAGTTATCTGAAAGGCACCGAGATGGTTTCGTCTGTTAAAACTGGCGATTTTATCCGCCAATCCATCTAATTTGACAGTCTCCTCTTGATCGTCGGTCGTCGGAGATTCGTTATCTGCCTGTGCTTGCAGGTGTACCGTTCGCAGGTGAGCCAACACACGGGGATCCGTTAACATGTTGATGCTGGACCGCTTTCGCTCAAAAAGTCCCTCCAGACCGCCTGTGCCGTTTGTCAGTTCTTCAATAAGTTCGTCTCGCGTCGTCATGGTGATGCCTGTTAAATCACACGACTTGACTTCAAAAGTTCTATGATATTGAGAGATGGTCTACATCTCAACGACGCTGTACTGGCCCGTTGTCAAAGTATCCAAAACCCCTGAAAGTGCAGCGATGTGTGAACGGCTACTGTAGTATATTTACCCAACAGTCGCTTTGTCTTTTTTACACCGTAACTCCCCAGACGATTCCATTATGTTGCAGCACCAGGTACTCAATGACTGGGTGCCGTTCAATCATCGCATAGACACAGGTGAATATTCCCGTGAATGGGAAACGATCTCAAATACTATGTAGACCTGCAAAGGTCGATGTATCGACACCGTGTTTCCGTCGATGTGGGCGTGAATGTATCGATGACTTTTTGCTTCGTGTCACTTAATATTACCCATACGCACGTGGAAACCCACAAGTGCGAAGCAATCCAGAGTTGTTTCGAGTGGACACAAGTGCGTCTGCGTTATCCTTTTGAGCTTTACTTGTAACTTAAAGATTTTATTCAAATTATCTGAAGGCCAATCGAGATCGTTTCAACTTCAGTCTCGGCTGTGACCTTAAAGTTAAGGTCGCCAGATTGTGTCAAACTTCATTGTGTCAAACTTTGCAACAGTTTGGTTAATTCTTTTTATAATTGACAAGGACAGAGATGAAAATGGTGCAAGTCTCAACTAATTACAGTATGGCCACATCCTGGTCAATACACACTATCTGACACATTTAGAAGACGGCATTAACAGCGACACCGCTATTGTAGTCTAAACATCATTGTAACCACCCATACAGTCACTGACAATTAGTGTACTGACTGTCAATAGGGCGTAAGTAAAGAAGAAACTCTTTGGAATCTCTGTGACTGTGCAAGTCTGTATAGAACCACGGTTACCAGAAGAACTGTGATAGAACCGGTTTATTGACTTGTACAGTCATTTCTTGTGGTTTTAACGCTATTTCTTTTATGCCGGGTCTCTCACCTACATAGCTTTCTGTCTTATTGTACTGCATTTCTTAATAAATTCTAAGATGTATTTGGTATTTTACTACGTTGTTGCTTTCAACTCTTGAGTTTTGTTATTGTCATCCCTTTATTGTAAACAATAAATCATCAAAATCATTTGACATTGACATGTTACCATCTGCCATTGGGTAGGCTATATAAAATGGAACTGTTTAAAGGGAGATTTTTATAGCCAATCACAAATCCTCAGTTTGTTTAACTTGACTACTGTTTTTCCACAAAACATTTACTTACCCGATAAATGAAAAATAAATAAATCTGCAAAATGGAAGTCAGTGCCAAACTATTTACAAGAATGTCCCTGATTGGCTACCCATCTCATACACCTAATGGTCAGACCAACTAGAGAGCAGCTTGTTTATTGACAGGTTTTTGTTAATAATAACAAATTCTGTCTTGTATATTATGCTTTGACTGACTGCAAATGGGCAGGTATGCATCTTCAAAATGGTATATTATATTATACTCAGCAGGTGATTTTCTAGAAAAAAAACTGCACGAGAGAGCACTGCAATAAGTGATTTTCCGTACAATTGCGAGATCTCGCGAGATGCATGAAAGACGCGCGTCGAACGTCTGCCGCAAAAATCGAACGATTTGATTTTGAACTAGAATTTCTTTATTTCGTAGCTTACATTGACCGGCCGATCTTCGACAGAGGAATATTGCTTCCGAATACCCTCACTTAATCGAAATTGTCTATCATCAAATGTATACAGCACATTATTAATCATGGAAATGCCCCCAAAATATTTTCGCGTTTATCGAATCCCACGCGATGTTTGACGCCACTACGACGCTATGACCTTTGTTTATCCTGTTTTTACGTTCGATTTCACGCATAACGGAACGGAAAATGGTCTATTCAGTGGCGCCACTAAGTGGGGGAGATAGGGTTCTCCCTACCAGCGTGTGGAGGTAAAATGGAGCATTCTATGGCTTCCTTGGGGCCAAAATTACTATCAGACAGGTCACAGTTGAAGACTGTGTCCACATGTGATCCCTGGTCAATGAGAATTTCATGGTTGCCAGAGGATCTGCTCCCTAGGGTAAGAGGGTGCATGGCCATGGCATGAGAGCACTGCACTTGTTTAAAAAATCCCTGCTCAGAATAAAATGTTATGTAAAGGTGACAAATATCACTCTCAAAATTTCCCCATTTCTTGCATATATTTTCAATTTTCAAAGAGCAAGCTTACATATGTACATGTATTCGTAATAGTCAATTTCCATAGTTGCTATAGAGTCCATTTACCATAGTATCGGATGTATACGAAGCTCAGTTGTTAAGCTGCTGGAGTAATGATACCGACCTACAATACTGCCCTCAGTGGTGATTAAGCATTTACTTTTGGTATGAATGTACAACCTGCTCTTAGTAAGATATGCAGACGACACTAAGATATGCAAACATTTTGCAATTTCTTAGCTCAGTATCTCTCCTGCTGTAAAATTCTGTGCATTTCTTGAGAATGAGAGCAGGTGCTACAGCCTTATTGATGGGTGATTTTATGCAATTCTTTTTCCATTTCAAACCACCTCCACTCAGTAGTACTGCGTATCTAAATAGAAGCGCCCTCAACCAACTTTTCTGTTCATTGTTTGCTGGATGACTTATTTTTACCATAGACATGTCTCTGTCATTTACATAAGCACAAACACCACTGATAGAGTGAATAGAGACAATCTCAATTCCCCTTGCGCCACTTGATTTTGGACTACCAGTAATTCAATTTTGTAGCTGTGGAACCATAGCTCTGCTTGTGTCAGTCTTTAGTCTTTGTAATGGTATTTTAGTCATTTCTGATGTATTTTGTGTCATTAAATTTGTTATTTTCAAATATTTAGATTGTTATCAACACAGAAGAGCTATGGTTCCTCCCATAGACTTGGGTCACACAAATGTGCGATGCCAAATGGCGTCGCAAATAAAAGTTGACAAAGCAGAATATTTGTTGGCATCACATCACACTAATGCAAATCAATAATATGTTAAATGAACTCTCACCAAAACCTTGACAAAAACCATTAGTTTGATTTCTTCTTCATGGGATTTAATGCTCTGAACCGCACGATTCTCCTGTGGCAGCCATTTTCTGGAGGTCGAACCAAGGACAATGTGAGGTCACTGGAGAAGGTATTGTTAGATACTCCTGTAAAGCGAAATACTCGTTGTCTACTTCAGATGCATCCGTATACTGCCCACAGTTGTTTTAAAGAAATATACAAATAAATGTCTTTCCATGTTTGTAGGATGCAGGGAAAATAGACAACAACAGTAAATACCACAAAGTCCATAGCAAAACACTAGTAGTAGCTTTTCTAATGGAAGTGCCATTTGGCGTCACACATTTGTTTATAGGAGAAACCATAGCTCTTCTGTGTAAATCAAAACCCTAATGTCTGAAAATAACAAATTCAATGACACCAAATTTATCAGAAATGATTAAAATAACATAACCAAGACTACAGACCGACACAAGAAGAGCTATGGAATCAGAGCTATCCAAGTTGTTGTCTGTGTTCATACAGCAATATTTTTGTAACTACCGTATACAAAGGGAATTGCAAATTATCCATAGGAGTCATATTGTGGTCGCTTCAATCGTCTGGGGGGGAAGTTAATAAAGACTATACCGAGGACATTACCCTTACAAATCTAGTTTGCGCCTGCTGTTATATCGAAAATATTTTGCGTTTCTTTTGCATCGAACACTCTTACACCAAAGAAAACAAAATACATGTATGTTGTAACTTGGGGGTGGAGCCCGGGATATATTTTTATGTTTTGTTGTAGTGTTGAAATGTGTTTCTTAGTTACCATGGAAGGATAAACAGTTGAAAATATTTATTACATACTAAGAGGATACATTTCGATCAGTTCACAATTAAAAGAGGTTGGATCTCGCTGCCACAGTCCCATTATGATGTTTTGTTGTTTTCATTTAAACAGCATTCTTTATATTATCTTTTAAGTCAATATCTTAGTAAAGATACGATAACAATGAAGTTATTACATGTATATTATTATAAATTTTCTTATTATCGCCGCTGATAATATAAAATACAGTAAAGGCGTCCGTCAGTGAAATTTACATACTAGTACTAATAAATAAACACAGGTCCTGTGTATTAAATCAAGGAAAACAACCCCGAAAATAACTGACTCGATACACCAACTAAGCTCCAGATCGTGCAGCCAAACAGTCTGTGCACTGGCTTCCGCAAAACTGAGAACAATTTTAAGTGAGGACTAGAGTAGAAAGCAACACTTCAGTGGTGGGTTATTGCAATATTTTTTTGTTCGTACAACGTAAATTGAAAAAAATAAATTCCGTAATTCTGTAATCACAGGCTAGACGTACAACCTAATCAATCAAATATTTTTTTCGTACACTGTAAAAATGTGTCATTTTTTTCTCGGTACGTACAAGAATTTACATCCAAATAAAAAAAGTTGTAAAGAATAATCCAGGGAAATTACATTTTTGAAACCGTAAAACGACTAGATGACACAATTCACTGCAAAATTAAATTTTAACTGTAAACTGTAAAAACGTCCTTTTTCCTTGTAAATTGTAAAAAGCCCTTTTTATTTCCCGTAAAACTGTACCACCTACCCCCCCCCCTCTTCAGTGCAGTGCAAGCACTTGTCACCATCTGTCATACAACTGACATATCTGTAACTGTTTACGTACCTACAAAATATACCCACACCACAGTCCCTCTATCACAGGGACTGTGCACGAACCTACTGCAGCCTAAACACACTTTGTAAATTCCCGCTTTCAAAACACAAAGTCGTCTACAACCGGAAGTAATACCTTGAAGAGTTACGCATGCGTCAACTTTGACCTCTGCCCCTGAACTGAGCCCGGGCTAGTTTCCTTATTTTGCGGTTTGTCCTATATTTGACCTATTTATCAGGATCGCCGACACATGTTATAATCTTAACATATTACAAGCATGTCAACCCGTCAACGCAAAGAAAATAAGAAAACAAAAGAAAATGTCGTCGATGATAAGGACAATAACGAGAGTGCCAAAAAATCCCATCTGGTAAGGTGAGTTTTCATGCACCTCGTGTGAACTGAAAAGCAACATCATACGATGTTATCATGGTAAATCATTACACCAGGGTCATACGTAAACGGGACACAGTGGCGGTCAGAGCACGGTTCTATTTCTACTTCCGTGCTATCTAAAGTCATGTCTGTTTCAATTTTAAAATTTGCAAAAAATCATCAAAATTCAACATTTTAAAACTCTTGTGTATTTTATTATCTGTTCTCCAGTCATAAAATTTTTTTTTCTACAGATCCCCACTTTTTCAAATTGTAACCCCTTATATAGTCATGTCTTTTATTTTATATATATTTTTAATTTTGTTATGATTGAATATATCTGTACCTATGCATTAATAATAATTTATTTTCTCTATGATGTCACAACACCATTGTTAAATTGGTCAATTGGAATTTTACAGTAAAAACATTTTGTCATTGAGATCAGAACAACTAATTACATATTTCATTTCAAAATATTGTTAATTACAAACAGATATTTACAGCCTTGACATATTTTATTTACATTGTTTCAAAGTCAACAGGTAACCAACAATATTTTAAAACAAAGTAATCAGTTGATCTAATCATACAGCATTCAGAGCAACCTCAATGAAAAAAAATGTTTATTCGCGCACTCTAGTTAGCTAGTTTCAAAAAAAGGTTAATTGCATCAAACAATAACTAAAAACTTGTTTTCCAAAATTCAGTGTTATTGTACTTGGTATTGTTCTGTTATTTGTATTTTTGTCAGTCAATCCCTGATTCCCTAATTGATAGCGTATGTGCGTTTATCGTTTGTGTGTTTGCGAGTATTGCATGACCTGAGATCAACAAGCCAGAAGGTAAGACAGATCCAAATGCATAGAGTCATAGCACACTGGTCATCCATGTTTCCAACATAAAAAAAATCTCCTTGAGCAAGAAAAACTAATTTGCAAATTATATTTAACTACTGTGGAATACTTTATTTTCGCTGGAATTAATTTTCGCTGAAAAAGCTTTTTGGGCGTGTTGTGTGGAATTTATTTTCACTGGTTTTTGATTTGTTTAATGTGAAATATAGGAACAAAAGTATATTCACTGGATTTTATTTTCACGGCATTACCCCTTCAGCGAAAATAGCGAAAATAAATTCCAAGCGAAAATAAAGTATTCTACAGTATGGCATAATATTCTCATATTTTTAGTGGGTATTTTGTGAGTTAATAGTTTTACATCTATTAACTCAGCGAAACACACACAAACCAACGCCTTACAGTTCATTTTTCTGAATAAATCATCTTTTTCAACTGGTACCTCTCGGTAATCTACATTTCTCAGCTGCATATAGTTTTCTAGACATCCTTTTTGTACCCTCTCACTCTGCTATCTTTTGAAAACAGGTTGTTTTGTTCTTTTGATTTTTTATATTTCTGTCCTACTCTCACCCATTGCTAGGTCTATAAATCACCACCTTTCTATCAAGTTGTACTTAAAATGGTTCCTTGTTTTTAAAAAAACAACAATTACAGGTCATTTTGTGGTAGGATGAATGACCTGAAAAATAGATTAATGTTTTTAGTCAGCACGCACACATCCATAAAAAAACAATATATAAATTCAATTTTTATGAAAAAATCAAAATAAAGGCACAATATTGATTGAAGTTGAAAACAAATGTGTGCTCGCAACAATTTTAGATTTACAAATTGACCAGAAAATTTTTTCTGAGCAATGATGTTTTTGTATAACCACAGTAGGTTTGTATGTATTCGATTGTTAAAGAACTCCTGTCATCGTGCCACACGTTCGATTGTTAAAGAACTCCTGTCATCGTGCCACACGTTCGATTGTTAAAGCACTCCTGTCATCGTGCCACGCATTCGATTGTTAAAGCACTCCTGTCATCGTGCCACGCATTCGATTGTTAAAGCACTCCTGTCATCGTGCCACGCATTCGATTGTTAAAGCACTCCTGTCATCGTGCCACGCATTCGATTGTTAAAGCACTCCTGTCATCGTGCCACGCATTCGATTGTTAAAGCACTCCTATCATCGTGCCACGCATTCGATTGTTAAAGCACTCCTGTCATCGTGCCACGCATTCGATTGTTAAAGCACTCCTGTCATTGCGCCAAGATGTATTTGTTTTATATGGTTCCTGTGCCACAATTACAATACATGTAACATAAATGTGTTCGTTTCCAACAAATTTTACCATGTGCTGCATCATATACTGTTGAAAATGAAAAAAAAGAGAGAAATTATTTATTGACACACCTTTCCCTAAGGCCCCCCCAGATTTAAAATAGTCTTACTGGAATTCTGATTGCTCTTGATTTAATACTTTCCACCATATGTCTATCTAATTAACTTTCACCATATGTGTAGATTATCTGCAAATAACCTTTAATTATTACTTGACAGAACAAAAACAGACCCGGGTGTTTATAAGAAGGCAGTGAGTCGAGCCCTTGTCAGAGTACTATTTATAGCAGCGTTTCTAATTGGTTTAATGTTCATCCGAAGCAAAGAAGATTTCAAAATACTTGCATCACAGAAAGAATTTTATCAAAAAAAAACTTTTCAGGTCTCGTGCTCTAAAGATTATGATGACTTTGAAAAATTCCCAGGTAATGTGTCATATGAAAGCATTTCAATATTATTTTCATTTATAGCGAGAGTTGTGGGATATTATGGTTATCACGAGAATACCTTAAAACTATGCAAAAAGGCAGTGATCGTAGGTTGATGTCTGAAAATCTTGTGATAACGTTATTATTATTTGAATATGGGCAGTATAACTCAACATCACAAAAAATCGTTCAAATATAACATAACAAAATTGAAAAACATAGCTTCCCTCTAAAGCCTCTTGGTCTTAGTGTGCATACGTTTAAAATAAATGCAAATTAATATTTTTATAGAAGGCGGCTATTGTTTTCAAAGTAAAACCTGTGTTATTAACCACCTCTATAACAAGACCATCTGCCGATAGTAACCATTTTTAGACACTCCCAAGGCATAATGTTTAACCTTTTCACCACCAAACTTCTGTCCCCAAATTTTTCTGCACTTTTTTCTTAAAATTCTTCAATATTTCTAAAAATGAACCCTAATTTTGGAGCCAAAAGACACAATTTGAGTAAATTTTTCATTTTTTTCTAAAAATTCTATTTTTGTCCCAATTTTCTAAAGGAAAGTGCAGACTATAAAAGGGACTATTTTGTGAATTTGTGATGGAAAAATTGAAATGGTAGTGAAAAGGTCAAGTAACCTATAAAGGCTAGAAATTTTTGCAAAAAAATGTTGACTGACTCATGAAACTTGTTTCTCTATAAAATTAACAGTTTACAATACTAGTATACTTTACCTGCAAACATCAAAGGCATGTTTATATTCACTATTTTTTTTTTTGCAGGTTGTACACCAACGCGGTGTGGAAGACTTGTTATTGATGGACTAATAACAGAAAAAGAAGCTAGACAACTCCTACAGTAAGTGTCTATAAATATATAAATAAAAAAATGTCGATCACAACTTTTTTCTTCTGGGTTTGCAAAAGTAAAAGTGAAAAATAGAATGTCACAAACTCATTTTTTGGAACATATCAGGACTAGAAACAAAAACATTTTTTTAAGTGAAAACATGGACTGAAAATTGTTTGGTTTATGATATTTCCTGTGAATAAATTTTGATTGAAATCATGTGATACTGTAGCTTTAGAAGTTTTTTATGAGACATTTACTGGCAGTGGGTCAAGTTTTGTTGTGATAATTAAATATGCTTGTTACAACAAAGTGATATTGGTATCACCTACTGTTGTATGTTTACATGAACTGTCTTGTCATGTGCAATGTACTGGCAGGTGAAAACGATCTAGAGAATGGAAGAACAATTCTAAAACAGTAGAATAACAAGATGTGCTGGTATGACATCAAGAAAGTGTCATTGTACCTAATAAACAAAATTCTATACATGGTTTAACCTTTTCACCACCAGACTTTCTTGCCGAATTTTTTCTGCACCTTTTTTTACGTTTTTCAATATTTCTGCAAATGAACCCTAATTTTAAAGCCAACAGACAAAATTTGAGTCAATTTACAGTTTTTACTCAAAAAATATGGCTATTTTTGTCCCAATCTTCGGTATTATTTAATTTGTGAATTTCTAATGAAAATAAGGAGCTGGTGGTGAAAAGGTTAGAATTGAAACATCTAGGATACCAATAATTCTCGATCTAGACATGCCACTAAATGTTGTCGTGCTTCTAACAAAAACACAATTAGTTCACAGTGAAATTTATGCATATATTTTTCTGTGTTTTCTAGAATTGCCAAAAATGGCCTTGCATTAGGTGGTTCCAATGGAGGGGTAAGTCTCTGGATTTGTGACTGGGATATTATTTATAGGATGGTGGTCGATATGTCATGTAATAAACAATGTATTTTACGTGGGTTGCTACGAGTCCTATATCGAACAAGACACGGCGGACATCCGTCTTCATTCTTTTGAGCATCATAGCCACATTTTGTCACATTCACAAATCACATGATTATTTCCATATTTTTTTTTATTTCGATCAAGACCTGTAGGCAATGAAAGGTTGTGTCCATTTTTTCAAAAATTATGAAGAAAATTCTAGAAATGCCGTACCAAAATTATGGCACTCAACAGATTAAGAAAACAAAAGCTATTGTTTTCATTTGTAATCTATTTTAATGTAATATTCATCTTCATTCATTGAAAATTTACTAACTTTTAATCAAACTTTTTATTTAAAGCGGAATAAGCAATTGTAGACTATTTAATAAGAATTTAGCATATTCCCTCAATTATAATCAATGAATATATCAGTTCTGAATTTAATAATACTTTTTTGATAAGCTTGCTTTAAATTTATTTTGTTGGTATTTAAGGTTAAAAAAATGTTTCTTGTCAAATTATTTTTCCAAAAAACAGTGATAGGCGATTTTTGAGGCACAAATTTTGCTGGTTCAATCACAGTCCCTCCACAACCGGTTATGAAACGTTATTGTCAAAAGGTGTGAACTAGCTTAGATTGTGAAGGAACTGTGGTTCAAACAATTCATCAATTCAAGGTCCTGTGCAGTTGCAAAATAAAGATCGACTAACACCACACAAGTGGTGGTGCCTGACCAGAAACATTTTTTTTTTTGAGGCAAAAGCTCTATAAGTTGTACATCATAAGAAATATATACGCATCAGTAGACTGTGAGGCATCACTTTTAGAGAATACCCGGTGATGGTATTTTAGCTATGTTTGTTCTTCGTTGCAGGCATCTATATTAGATCTACATTCAGGTGCTCTCTCCAAAGGAAATAGCTTCATTAACCTTTTCAAGTAAGTTATATTACACTGAAGTTAGCAAAGGCATGTATGTTATAAATTATATAAAAAGCTAAATATTTATAAACTGGAATGGCAGTTACACATTGTATGAGCTCATATAGTGATGATGGCTGTTTTTATGCATTCTAAGTTTATTAGTATTATTATTATTATTTATCTGTGAATGCTATGCGAAGTGGAGTGGAGTGGTATACCGACTTGGCCAATCTATGATGTATCTCATTTGGCTTTGAATGAGACTGATTACAAATGAAAACAGTTTGGTTTGTAGATTTTTTTATTTATAATTATAGCCATGCCTTTAATGACTTCAGTATACTGTTGTCAAAACTTACACAAAACAAAAATCTGATTTACCTTCACATTTTAACGTAACTTAAAGATTTTAACCTGAATTTTACACTGAGTTCAGAAAAAAGTACTCACAAGAAAAAAAAGCCTAATGGGTAATAACTGACTTCAATATTGACAGTTTTTAGTGCCAGACTTTTTCAGACTTAATATGACATTATACTTGTGAGAGATAACAAAACACCTTGCAATATCCTAAACTCCATAGTTTATGTTGCTATGTGGAAGACAACAATGGGCTGAGAAAGTTCCTCTTGATTTCTCTGGTTGCTTAGATACCATTAGTCTGAAGGGGTGGGTGATCGATCTTAATTAATTTCCTTTCACAAGAAATATACAGTTTTAGAAAAATTTTATTAATCTTAGCTGAAATTAACCTTCACTGAAAAGACATATTGGCTGTTCTATATAAAGTTTATTTTCACTGATTTTAGAAAAAAATAAAAATATAATTTATAATATAACAACTTTAGTTGTACCAAATATGTTTATTCTGCATTTGACATGTACATTACTTTCAATATTAAAATGTTCTTAAAATATGGAAAACAAGTATTCATTTCCACACACACTCAAATTGGACAAAATATAATTTATGATATTTGGTTTCCATGCATATATGTGGAAGATATTTCTTGGTGACAACATACAAGTATGCTGTTTCAAGTTTTGAAAAACTGATAGAGACTAACTCGCTCACAAATGACTCGGTAAATGTAGTTTCCCTCAGAAAATCACCAAGGGAACATGGTTGATTGTAAGGTTAATAATATACTGTAAACATGTCTTTTTAGCTAGCATGTTATTTTAGCTAATCTGTAATTTCACTAATTCAAGATGTTGCTAATTTAAAATAAAGTATATTCTCACAATGAGATTGTTGGCACTTTAGCTAAATTAAGATTCAGTTAATTCATGCATGGAGTCAAATTTGCTAAAATGGCATGTAGCTATTTAAACACGTTTTACAGTACTGCTACAATAAGCCGACTCTAGATGGCGCTATATATCCAATGATTGTATTCTGCATTGATTATGGTGCTAATTTTTTTAACAAATTCTCTTTTGATATTTTGTTTTTTCAGGTATCTTGAAAATGAAAACCTTGATAATATATTTGAAAAAGACGACGTAGAAGTTTACAAGTGAGTTCAGTGAAGTTTTCTCATCAACAAATCTACACTCAGGATTTGTCTCCCAAATTGTATTACTGTGGAATACTTTATTTTCGCTGGAATTAATTTTCGCTGAAAAGGCTTTTTGGGCGTTTTGCTTGGAATTTATTTTCACTGATTTTTCATGAGTTTAATGTGAAATATAGGAAAAAAAGTATATTCGCTGGATTTTATTTTCACAGAATCATCCCTTCAGCGAAAATAGCGAAAATAAATTCTAAGTAAAAATAAAGTATTCTACAGTATACAGTCTTCTTTGTTAAGGTCGTTCGCAGGTATTCAACCTATCAAATAATGTCAAAACAATTATCCATTTTATTTGTTTTAAAAGCATTACATAATTATTGATTTAGACATCAGTCATTGATTTTTAGGTTTTTTCGGGGGAGAAAACCAGTCTGAAAACAGACAAAAATAGCCCTGGAACTGTTTAGAAATTTGTGTTTGTGGAATTTTTATTTTATAAAAAATGAATAGTATTTGTTAGAATTCACAATAATTTGGGACAAACAAACATAAAGACACATAACATTAAAGTACTTAATTTTTCACTATATGTACTCAACAAAATTTTGAGAATGATGTAAGCTTTTTACATAGAAGCCAATGGCAAATGGCTCAAAAATCAACATTTTCATGGGTGTTTTACCTTTTTTTTTTTCCTGCGAAAAGTTGTTTAGTGACCACACATCTATTTCATTTTAAAACTGCCAATCTTAATTCTATAAATCACTGCATTTTTGATGATCAATGATGTAAAAATTGAAAATAATACTGTCATTAAAAAATCAAGACGGGTGATTTTGAACTAAAACATCTACACAGAAAATTGGGCAAAAAAGCCATGCTGGGAAAAAGGCACAAAAAAAAATATATTTATGAAAAAAACAAAAAAACGTTAGATACAGGAAAATTAAAATGAAGAGAAAATATTTGTTTTTTTATTCTCTCTCCATCTAACGGTCAACCCTTTACTTGAATTTGTAAATGTACATTAAACATTGGATGTCCTTTATGCCAAAGCTTATGCTGTGTGACATGGATTAGCATGGACAGGTTTTCAGAGTACATGTATCTGCATGTAATAAGCACAGTTATTATGCATTCATTTTTCGGCAATTACCAAAGAGATGTATGCTGTGATGTGTAGCTAGGCAATTTAGAAGCTACTATCATTTCTCAGTGTTATAATTAATGAGATAGTTACAAATGTTTTCCTTATATAGGCATGTGAAAAATAAGATAAAAGCTGTGATATCGAGAGAGTTTGGTGTAACTAAAAGTAGACTACATCTCACGCACCCGACGTTCTTCTCAAGAATGAATAATAAACCAGCACAGACAGTTCATGATGAATACTGGCATCCGCATATTGATAAGGTAGGTACCATATGTCAATTATACTCAGCTTGCTATATGTACGTTTAGTTTAACATCTAATAATTGTTTAGAATTAATCTGTATATTGATTAGGTAAGCTGAATTTTATTTATGGCTTACACCAAATCTGTTTAAAATCTGATATATTATTGTACAGCATGTATTTTTTTAGATTTTTTATACTTATTTTTATTTGTACTATATTTTTTTATTATTTTGTACTTTGCTTTTTATTATTACATGTAGTATGTACATTTCATTTTGTATTAACTGTTGGCTTTCACAATTAACAAAATATGTAAAAAAAAAATTTTAAGCCTAAAGTAGGATCTATATTAATTAAAATTGGGCTTGAACCCAGCCTGTTGTTCATGTGTTACCCAAATATCACATTAGCATTGTCCATTTATTGGATTTGTGCTATTATTATATATTTTTATCATGCTTTCTACTGCCCCACACTGTGAATTGAATAGACTAGCTCACCAGCTATTATAAAATAAGTGGAACACAGCGATAATTATTACTAAAAAAGATTATGAGAGAAGATGCAAAAAACCTGGTTACATACATATATATATATATATATATATATATATATATATATATATATATATATATACACACACATCCAAAACTGTGTGCATGTACATGTGTTAGTGCGGTTGTTCATTCCAGCAATACCAAATCTATGTTTGTCTACATTGTTGCCAAACTAATAACTATTGGGACAATGTTTATAAATTCGCTAGTACAAATGAAAAAAGTGTATGAACATATAAAGACAACAAAGTTCTGTTGTAAAAATTCCTGATTGTTCTTGTTTTACTGAATTATTCAACACATTGGTCAAACAGAATGTAACAAATTCTATTTTCAGGTTACGTACGAAACCTTTGACTACACATCGCTGGTCTATTTAACTGACTATGGAAAAGATTTTGATGGAGGCAGGTTTGTATTTGTGGACAAAGAAGCAAACTGGACAGTGGAGCCTAGAGTTGGTAAATATGTAATTTAGCATAGATTTATTAAATTTTACAATGATGTTGTGATTTGGCATGTACAAGATAAATTATACGGTGAGGTACTATGGTGTGGTAGAATCACCAAACGTAATACAGAAATGCAACGGCCAAAATAAAGTACAATCACCGACCTTGTGGTTGGGTTCTTTATCCCAAAATACACAATATAAATAATGTATAGATATATTGGTATATGATCATACACAGTAATGCCAGGGTAGAACTTTGGGATAGAACACGCACACCTGTAACAAACTTGCACACACTTCAAGAAACACAAGTTCATGTGGATAACAAAATTTTAAATTTGTTTTGAATTGGTCGATGAATTACCATGGTTGTAAAGTTGGTTGAAGTACTGTGGAATACTTTATTTTCGCTGGAATTAATATTCGCTGAAAAGGCTTTTTGGGCATTTTGTATGGAATTTATTTTCACTGATTTTTGATGAGCCTAATGTAAAATATAGGAAAAAAAGTGTATTCGCTGGATTTTATTTTCACGGAATCATCCCTTCAGCGAAAATAGCGAAAATAAATTCCAAGCGAAAATAAAGTATTCTACAGTATATAAGAGTACTGGCAACAAGCTAGACTGGCAACGTCGGGACTTCTTTTTTGTTTTACCAAAATAATATAATTGTCAATTTAGCCTTTTTAAACGCGATTGCAAAAGCTAGCGTGACTGCGAAAGAAATCCCCACTGGACGCATCTGCAGGTGACCCCCTGCGTTGGAGTGAAAACCGGAGCAGAATCACTCCGGTGATTATGCTAATTAAAAGTTGTTGACAGCATTCACAATGAATCAGAGTGCAGCTGTATACATCATATCTTATCTATGTTAATGTACTTGACCTTTCACTTCTGAGGTCCAGGCAATTTTGAAAGACTACTTATATACATTAGACATTTAAATAGACTTGTTTTCAGTAAACATGGATGAAAGTATTGCCTTCGCACTTCGCAGTCAAATGCTCACAGATGCGTCCAGTCGAAATTTCTTAAGCGGTCAGGTTAGTTTTCGCGATCACGCTAAAAGGACTAAAGGTTGGCAACTGTGATACATATCTGAAAAGTCATGATTCCCTTGTGGTTTACTGCACATAACCACTCTTGCTTCAAACTCATAGTTTATATGCCATATTACCCATCACATGATTTATCTTATACTGTATTTGCTCTATTATTCATTGCTTATGTAAGTTACCGAGGTCATATTATACAATAAATGTATGGGCACTTCTAATAGAATGCCTATGGTAATTTTCTGTTATTTGTTCAAAATAAAATCACCTGAGTGACATTATTGTGGCAAAAATATGAGTGAAATAGAGTGAAAATTAAAACACTGTCTTTTACTGTGCATCAATACTATTGTTTGTACATTGAGCGCTCAGATTTTTAGTAAAATTTCCTGTTGCATTCATTTAACAAAGAATACACAAAACAAGTTTCTGAAATTTGTATAAAGTATTACAGAATAACTGTAAGTCTGTTTAATTTTCATCGCTAGGAATTTTCAAGATTTGCGTTGGTTGTCATGTAAACAATGTATTTTACATGTGTTGTATCTGTTGCTATGAGTCCC